CTTTGTTGTTCTTGCAGCTGCTTACACCACCTCTCTTTCCGCGCGCTGGGTTGCATCTGAAAGTTAAAAACATTGCTTTTCTCAGACAAATCGAATCCGGCTCTCCGTCCAAGCCCGGCACCGATGACACGAAGTCGACGTGGGCAAGAGATCCTCAGTGCAGGGCAGCCCGGAATAATTAGGAGTGGGGACTATTCTAGTCCCCACTCCTAGTAGGCTCTATTATAGGCCCCATTCCTAATAGGCTCGGTGAACGGCCTTACTTCTTTCAATTTGGGCATTGCGCACCTAAGCAAGAAGGAGCCTACACAGGACCTGCATCCAAGGGGCGTGGCAAGGAAGGAGCTCCGATGTGTGCGAGGTCCATGGCTAGCGCCGACAACCCCGAGCAGGCAAGGGATCTTGGAGGCACGCTCGGGCCAAGGTGCGTAGAGTCCAGCGTGGAGGTCGTAAAGCCTACTTGTGCCAGACTCCGGGTTGACAAGAAGGACCCGATGCTGACGAGATCCAACACCAAAGCAACAGAACCCAGCCGCAAGGATGATTGCAGTGGCGCGAAGGTGCCTAGGTGCACAGAGTCCAGGACGAGTGCCGCGGGATCTGGCCTGGCGGGGGACCGCACTAGCACAACCAAGCCTGGAGCCGTGAAGTCCAGGGTTGACAGCGGGAAACCAATGGCCACTTTACCAAAAGTAGCTGTCACAGATCCGGGACGAGTAGGTGACCTCGGCAAAAGGAGAGGGCCGAGGCGCAAGAAGTCCATGACTGGCATGACGAACGCAGCACGCGCAAGGCCTCGAAGAAGCAGGCTCAGGCCCGACATTACGAGGTCCGGTGCCAGAGGCGTGGAGCCTAAACGAGCACCACCGAACACCAGAGAAGCCGAACCCACGTGAGCATGATCCTGCGACGAAGACGCAAACCCTGAGTGTAAGAAATCAAGCGCCGGCAAGGCAAAGCCAGGTCTCGCAAACGACCGGGTTAGCAAAGGGAGCCCCATGTCAACATGATCTGGAGGAGATGTTAGGAGGCCTGACCAGGCCAGGCTCCGCAGTAGCAGTGATGACTCGGGACGCAAGAGATCAAGGGCTAAGGCGGCTGGCCCACACTGCGCATGGCTTTGAAGCGAAATCGGCAGGTCCAAGTGCAAGAAATCCAAAGCCAGCACCGTGAGGCCCAAGTAAGAAAAGCTCCTCAGAAGCAAGCTTGGCCCCAGCAGTGTAAGGTCTAGGATCAGCAGAATCAACTCTAATCGCTCCATGCCGAAAGCCGAATGTGCCGACCCCAGATAGGAGGAGCTACGCAGCAGCGGCAGAGGACCTGGTGTTGAAAGATCCGATGCCAGCAGGATACTACCCAGCCGCCCTCGAGAGAACACGGGCAGGAAGAGACCAAATCAGATGAGGCTGCGAGCTGACATAACCAAGCCGAGGTGCAAAAAGTCTGGTACAGGAGGTGCAAGGTCCATCCTACACAGACTTTGCAACATCAACAGTGCCCCCAAGCAAGCCAAATCGAGTACGGGAAGAAAGCTGCCCAGATTGACCTGTCCACAGACGAGCAGAATGGCACCAGGACGGCTGAAGTGATGGAGCAGCAGAAGGGAACCGAGGTAGGCCAGGTCCAAAACCGAGGTCATTGGACTAGGTCTTCCACAACTTTGAGTGGGCACAGGAAATCCGGTGTGCACGTGCTCGGGTAGCAACATGAAAAGCCCCAGGTTGGCTTGCCCGAAAATGGACAACATGCTCCCCAGGTGAACAAGGCTATGTGAGGGCGATAGCAAGCCGAGCTGCAAAAAGTCTAAGGCAAAAAGGCTCAAGCCCATTCTCACGAAGCTTCGGAGCACAGGTGCAGCTTCCGGATGGGCGAGATCCAAAGCAGAAAGCAACAAACCCACTCGAGCGGTTGTGGGTACAGGCAAGGGCAATCCCACTCGGCCACAAGATCGGAGTGAGAGGGTGGGGCCAATCATCAGGTAGTCAGTGACAAGCATGGCCAGGCCGGGATGCACAAATGAACGCACAGGCAAGAACAGGCCCAGAGCCGCAAAGTCCGTCGCCAACAACATGAAGCCAACCCGAGCAGGTGAACGAGGTGACAATGAGGGGCCTGATGACAAGAGGTCAAGCACCGAAGCAGCTGGCTCAAGGCAAGCCGGACCTTGCACCAGCAAGACGGCATCCAGCTGCAGAAAATCTGACACAAGCATTACAGGTCCTGACCTTCCCAAGCTACGCATCGACAAGACGCTGCCCAAGTCAGTGGGGTCAGGTGCAGCTGGCGGCAAGCCAAGGCGGGACCAGCTCGGAACTGGGAATGGCAGGCCCAATCGGTCCGTGCTTTGCAACGGCATTGAAAAGCCAGCCTTGACGAAATCTGGCGAAGCCGTCGATGAACCAGACCAATTTGACCCGAAAACCAGAAGCAGCGAGCCAACGCGAAGGGAGCTGTGAATCAGCAAGCCGGAGCCGAGCTTCAAGGAATCTGGAGCGAACGCAACAGATCCAGGCTGAGCAGGGCTTTGCAGCAACAGGGGGGGTTCTGGCACAGCGAGGTCCAATGCCGGTGTGCTGAAGCCCAGTTTGCCACACCCGGTTGTGGGCAGTAGCGACCCAAAGCACGCAAAGGATTGCGCAGACGAGGTGGAGTCAGGTTGCAGGAAATCCAGCACAAACACTGCCAAGCCGAGTCGCCCCAGGCTTCGTGCCAACAAAACAGGCTCTGGCAGCGCAGGGTCCAGAACCGGCAAGAGTGAGCCTGCCCGCGACATTCTGAGGGCGAGCAAAGCTGGTCCAAGACGACCGAGGCTGCGAGGCAACATAGGAAGTCCCAACTCCAAGGAGTCTGAGGCAGGCAAGGCAAGCTCGGGCCGCGCCATGGACCGCACTAGCACAAAAGATCCAAGGTGCCCAAAGTCAAGTGAAAGAAAGGAGACATCACAACGTGACAGGCCGACAGAAGGCATGGCAGGGCCTAGATGGCCGAAGTGCCTTAAGGATAAAGCGAGGCCCAAGTGCAAAAAGTCCGAAGCAGACGACACGAAGCTCATTTGCACACGGGACCTTGCCAGCAGAGCGGGGCCAAGAACGGAGTGGTCCGGCACTGATAGGATGGATCCCAAACAGCTCATGCCGCAGACAAGGAACGCCAAGCCAGAACAAGCAGACATGCGTGGTGGCGTGCACAAGTCAAAGCTGCCAGGCGCTTGCGCCGGCAGCATCGGCCCTGGATGGAGGAGATCAAGCGCTGAAGTCGCTGGCTCTGATCGTGCAATGCTGCGAACTGGAATCGGCAAACCAAGCTGGACGTGGTCCAATGTAGGCAGCGTTGGATCAAATCTTGCGCACTGAGATGCTGACGTGGCCGCATCGAGGTGGCCAGGGCTGTGAAGTGGGGAAGCAGACTCGGGATGCACAAAGTCCGAGACTGGCAACACGAGTCCGAAGCGAAACCTTTCCAGGGTCGATGGAGGTGGCCCGGGTCTGCCCAGACCGCGGACAAACAAGCTGGGTCCTAGATGCAAGAGGTCCGAAGCTGGCATGGCACTTCCACATCGCGAAAGCGAGCGTAGCAAAGGGGATGGGTCTGACAGGGCAGGGTCAAGCGCCGGCATGGTCGACCCAATCTTGATGGCGGAGAAAACCAGTGAAGCCAGTCCCAAACAAGCGTGGCTACGTGTCAACGGTGGAAGCCCTGGTTGCAGGGAATCTGGCGCTGGCATCGTAAAGGCTGCCCTGACGAAGCTTTGGACCAGCAACACGAGACCCAAGTGGGAAAAATCAGGAGCTAAAAGGGAAGATGCACAGCAAGCAAGCCCGCAAAGCAGAAATGCAGCGCCCACGCATGCGAAGCTCCTGAGCAGCATCAGCAAACCAGAGTTGCCAAAGCTTCGTGCCGATGGTGTCGTGCCAGGGTGTGCGAGATCAAGAGCAAGCGATGGTGCTCCCATTCTCACCCGCATCATAGCCGATGATGCAGAACCAAACCACCCGAAGCTTTGAACCAGCAAGGAAAGCTCTGGATGAAGAGAGTCCAGGACCAGCGCAGCTAAACCGAACCTGGCACAGCTTCTGAGGAACAGCAACAGTCCCGAACTGGTGGGATCCAGCGCGAATGAGGGTGCGTCGATGCAGGAGATGCCAGTGACTAACGTGGCCAATTCCACCTGAGAAAAGCTGTGTGGTGGCAGAGCCAAGCCTAAGTGCAGAGAGTCTGATGCCAACGAGGCTGGCCCCAGGCAGGCACTGGACCGCAAGAACAAGGATGGGCCAGGAAGGCCACTATCCAGAACCAAAAGCATGGGCCCCAAACGGTACATACCCATCACCAAGGAAGACAGACCAAGGCATGAGGGAGATCTGATCAACAAGAAGAAGCCAGGCCGCAAATGATCCAACGCCAACACGGAAGAGCCTGTTAAGGCAACGCTTCGTGCCAAAAGATGCGAGCCTGACTGCACAAAATCCAGCACAGGCAGCGGCAGGGCTGGTCGAGCCTGACCGAAGACAAAAAAGCAGCTCTCGAACTGCGCAAGCATTCTGAGCGGCAGCGCGGGCCCAGAACGCGCGAGAGACCTGGCCAGCGTCATGGACTCAAGCTGTAAAGAATCCAGTGCAGGCAGCGGGACGTCGAGATGAACGAGGCCTCTTGTTGGAGCTGGGAGCTCAGGCTGTGCGAGATCCGATGATGACAAGGTAGGCCCAGGATGGGAGCAGGAACACAATGATATCACCGGACCCAAATGTACGAAACTTTGCAGCGAGCATGAGGAATCAGGCTGCAAGAAGTCGAGAACAGAAAGTGCAAACCCGAGTCATGCGCAGCTTCTTGCCGACACAGAGACGCCCGACCATGCGCAGTCGGGAGTTGATGTGCTTAAGCCAAGTCGGGCACAGCTGAACGCTGGCCACGTGAGACCTGCCCGGCTGAGACTTTGCGCGGGGGGGGAAGATCCCAGCTTAAGAGAGTCCGATGCAGAAGGGGAGGATCCAAGTCTCATGCAGGATCGCACGGGCAAAGTGAGGCCTGGGTGGACAAAGTCTACAATCAACGATGCCACACCCAGCTTTGAAAAGCTTCGAGTCGAAAGCGAGCTTCCTGTGTCGCAGGCATCAAGGACAGGCGGACATGGGCCCAGGGTTCCAGAGCTAAAGGCCAGCATGGACGTGGCCATCTGTGCGAAACTCTTTGGAAGCGATAACAGCTCCAAACGCAGGAAGTCCATCGCCAGAAGCGCCGAACCCACGCGGGTCATGGAGCGGGCCAAGGGTGCACTGCCTGAGCTCAAGAAATCCAAGGCAGGAGCCGAAACCTCCGGCCGAGCAAAACTCCGCAACAGCACCGCGCTGTCCGAGTGCGCAAGGTCCGAGACCGACGGGATGAAGCCCGAGCGCCCACCTCCTGGAGTCAGCAGCAAGGGCTCGGGTTGGGAACAGGACTGCAAAGGCAAAGCGGAGCCCGACTTCAAGGAGTCAGGAGCTGGCGAAGAGGCGTCTGATCTGCCAAAACTCCTTGTTGACGGTGTGGACCCCAATCTAGCAAGATCGAGAGCCAACAGTGGGAAGCCTGAGCGCCCGCAAGTAGGAACCGACGGAGTGGGTGCCAAGCGGCCCATGGAACGCAGCAGCATCGCAAAGCCCAGATGCAGAAAGTCGAGGACTGATGACGCGCTGCCAAGCTAGCAGGCGCTGTGCGGTGGAAGGGACGACTCCAGCCTTAGTTGCCAAATGTTGCAAGAATTGCGAAATGCAGGAGTTTGATCTGCTACCAGTACAAAGCCAGTCTCTGAAGCGCAACTCACTTCTAGCCCGTTTCACTTTCAGCAGCTCTCTTGCCAACTCGTGTCACCTTCCCCAGTTACTCCCCCTCCCCCTCCCTACATCCGTATCCCTCTGAAGTGCAGCGACGTAGCTGGACAAGATCGAGCGCGGGAGGCGAAGGCCCAAGGTTCATCTCTCCGGACACGAGCAGCGCAAAACCCACACGCTTGTGGCTGCGTGAGAGCGCCGAGGGTCCAAGGTGCCCAAGGTCAGGTGCCGTCCTTAGTGCAGCGATTACACGGCCACAACTCGAGCTTGACTCCGCACACACACAGTCATACAACATGCCATCACATTGATGCCATGCCTTGTATGATATAGCCTAGATATTATATTCATATGCCAGCATGCCAAAAAGCCGTAATGTGCCATGAATATGCCATGAAATGCCAGAAATTCAGGGCAATAAGATCAAGCAGTCGAGCAGCAATGCAGGGCCTGGTTTGGCAGAGGACCTTGCCGAAGTAGAGGGGCCAAGCTGCAGAAGGTCTGATGCCAACACTGCCAGGTCCGCCCTGGCATGAGCTTGCGCTGGCAAAGAAAGGCCTAGACTCAAAAAATCAAGCAGCAAGGCCGCAGGCTCCATTCGTACATGGCTGCGGGGAAAGAGGGAGGAGTCCAGTTGCAGAAGGTCTGAAGCTGGCAACGCAGGACCAAGCTGTCCATGGGACCTTGCGGACAACGGAGCACCCATCGCCGAAAAGTCCAATGCCAGAGCGACAAGTCCCAAACGAGCAAGCTGCCTGACGGATGTTGCGAGACCCAAAAGTGCGTGCTCGGGAATTGATGATGCTAAATCTGGCTGCATGCGGCTAGAGGCAGACAGCGACGGCCCCAGCCGCATGTATGATTGAGGAGGCGTTAAAGGGCCCATTTGCAGGAAGTCCAGAGCCGGGAGGTTGCTATCAGGTCGTGAGAAGCTCCGCGAAAGCACTGCCAAGCCAAACGAGGCGTAATCCAGCAAAAGCAATGTCAGCCCAAGGCATGTTATACCTAAGACAGATGAGCAGCTGCCAAGTCGTGCAAGTTGCTGCACCAAGAGCATCAGGTCTGGTTGCAAGGAGTCTGGGGCAGACGAAGGTGGGCCCGAGCGACAGGGGCTGCGCAAGGGTACAACCAGCCCAGTGTTCGCGTGGTCCGATATCGAAGTAGAAGGATCAGCGCAGCCTGCTCCAAACAACGCTGTCGTGGACCCAGGTCAGGCGTGGGCCTGCGGCAAGGGCGAAGACCCAAGCTGCAAGAGGTCCAATGCTGGTGAGCTTGGCCCAAAGCATCCGCAGCTTCTGGCCAGCAACAGCAGTTCTGGATGCAAGAAGTCGACTGCTGGCAAGGCTGCTCCAAGCTTTGACGTGCTTCGAAGGAACGAGAGCGAATCGAATCGCGCAAAGTCTGTGACAAGCAAGGAGAACACTGGGCCAAGGCGGGTTGATCCTAGGACTGGCACAAGCAGCTCGAGGCACGTAGAATCTTGTGTTGAGGGTGATGCGCCAGGCCTGAGGGGGTCAGGTACCAGCAGAGAAGGGCCCAAACAGCTGGAGCTATGCGGCAGTGGGACTGGTCCTGGGTGGGCAGAATCCGGGACTGGAGCGATGACATCCGAACGAGCATGGCTGCGAGGTGGCACCAACAAGTCCATTTGCGTCCACTCTGAAACCAACGAGAGAAGTCCAGGGCGACAGAGTCCGGACACGGACGTGAAGGAAGCAACTCGACTACAACTTCGGGGCAGAAGCGAGAAACTTGTCTGAGCGAACTCAAGCACCGAAAGAAAGCTGCCAAGGCGAAGTGAAGAGCGCGGCAGCAGAGACGATCCCGGAAAAGTGAGCTCCAATGCAGGAAGAAGCAAGCCAAGACGGGAGGCAGTAGAGATTGATGAGATCGGCTCGGATTAGGTGAAGGACCTTGCAGAAAGCAAAGCTCCAAGTTGCAGGGAGTCTAGCACGGGGGGAGAAGAATCGAGGACGCTCCTCTGGAAGGCTGACAGGGGAAAGTCCAGACGTGCGAAGCAGCGCAGGAGCGCCAAGGACCCGAGATTCAGAAAGTCCAGCGCCGATGATGTGGGTCCTGGTTGGCTGAGACTATGGGCTGGCAGGGAGGATCCCAAGTGCAGGAAGTCCATTGCGAAAAGCACCAGCCCCAGCCGGACCAAGGATCTCACAGAGAGACTGAACCCTGAGTGGACAATGTCCAAAGCGGGTGGCAATGCCCCCAGCCGCCCGAGTCCGCAAACCAGCGTGGAAGATTCAAGGCGTGTGAAGCTCCTTGCGAGCAAGATCGGCCCTGACCGCAGAGGATCCAGAACAAGCAGACTGATTTCAAGCTGCATGAAGCTTCGAAGAATCGTCGGCAAGCCCAAGTTTACGGAGTCCAGAAGAAGCGGGGAAGCTCCAGGGCAGGTCTCCCCAAAAGCGAACAAACCCAAGCCAGGGCCGCAGAAGGATCGAGTTGGCGAGGTGATGCCTGGGTGAAGGAGGTCTGGCGCCGATATGACCACGTCCACACAAGCGGAGCTGTGAATCGAAACCGCTGGCTCAGCATTGACCATGTCCAAGGGCAGTAAGGGCAGTCCAAGGCGGACGAGGCTAAGGGCTGGAGGCAAGAACTCAACGTGAGCAGGCGACTGCAACGACAGGATGAATCCAAGCCTCAAGTGATCCGGAACCGGAACTGCTGCTCCCAAGCGGCTGAAGCCTCGAGCCAACAAAGAGGATGCCGGATATGCAAAGTCCAGAACTGTAGGCAAGGAACCACATCGCCCGATGTTTGGAGCAGACAGGACTAGCTCAGGGCGAGAGGCACTACGCAGAAGCAGCGCGAAACCCAGGTTCAGAAAGTCGGGCACAAACGGGGTAAGGCCAAGGTGGCAGAAGCTGTGCAACAACAAGCTCAACCCAGAGTAGGCGCTATTGGTCACCGGTAGTGAGAATACACTTCCAGTTCAAGTCAGGCCAAACACTGACGCAATGGCACCTGGGCATGCCAAGCTGTGCACGGACAGCAATGGTTCGGGCCTGGCATGGTTGGGCGCGAAGAATGAAGATCCTGGGTGGGCAGAACTCCTCGACGACATCAACGCACCAGGGTGGAGGGAATCCAAGACCGGCAAAAAAAGTCCCAGCTGGGTTCTCTCTAGCGCAGGCGCGCTAGATCCCATCCAAGCGCAGCTGTGGAGCAGCAAGAAGAAACCTGAATGCAGGAAGTCCAATGCTAGAGCGGCACTACCCAAGCGGCTAAACCCTCGAGGCAGTGGCAAAGCATCCGAGTGTGCAGAGTTCAGAACAGGTGCAATGCTGCCCAGTCAAACCATGCTTCGTGCAGAGACAGCTGGCCCCAAACATGTGAAGTCGAGTGCCAGCACAACAAAGTCAAAGCATGTGCCGCCAGAAGCAGCCACGGCGATTCCCAGGCAAATCGCGCTGCGCGATGGCGAGAAAGGACCAGGCTTCAAATGATCCAGCACTGGCAGTAGCGGTCCAGGTCTGACAAAGCTGCGAGCCGATGGAGATAAACCTGGGTTGAGGAGGTCAAGCGCCGGCAGGGATGAGTCGAAAGTGGCCCTGCTGGATGCGAAAGGAGTGAAGTCCAGTCTTGCGAGCTGCCGCGCGGAAGGCAACAGTCCCAAATGTAAAGGGTCCAGCGCCAACAACACAAGTCCCACCCGCGCCATGCTTCTCGCGAAGAGTGGAAGCTCTGGCTGAAGAGAGTCCAACGCCGACAGCAACGGGCCGGGAGAAGTGCGAGAGGATGCCGGTAAAGTGAGACCAAAGCGCGTTACATGGCGTGCCGACAGGTTCAGCCCCAAATTCGAGAAGTCCAAAGTGGAAGGTATCAGCTCCAAACAGATGTGGCTCCGCAAAGGCAAAAAGAAGCCCAAGCTGACCATGTCTGAGAGTGACGGCGGTGCGCCCAAACGACAGCTTTGAAGAACGAGGAGCGACGGCCCCAAAGCACCGAGGCCTCGTGGCGGTGTGGGAGCATCGGGTCTTGCGGGGTTGGGCACGAGTGGTAAGAAGCCAGGCTGAGAGGAGGACCTTGCAAGCGGCGAAGGGCCCGGCATGACAAAGTCCAGCACAAACAGCAGCACGTCGAGGCTTACCCAGGCACATGCCGGCACGAAAGCGCCACAGTGGCTGAAGGACTGCAGTGGTGTTGTGAGGTCAAGCTTTGCAAAATCTGAGACTGAGAAAGTGGCATCCAATCGACAGGAGGAATGTAATGAAGGGGACAAGTCTAGGAATGAATCTTCGATGACAGGCAGGGAGAACACGGGGCCCATCCAATTTAGTCCTGAGGCCGGTGATGTAAAGTCAGGTCAAATGTGGCTCCTGAGCAAAGGCGGAAACCCCAAGCATTGAAGATCCGATGAGGACAACGTTGAGCCAAGCCGCAAGCAGCTTCGTAAGGGCAGCAGCAAGCCCAGTGGCACGAGTTCCGGCACAGGAGGCATCAGGCCAGGCCGGACTGCGTTAAAGACCAAGGGTGCCAGATCAATCCGACTGGGTGCGTGCGGTGGCATCACAGGCTCCAGGTGCAGAAGGTCCAGCGCCAGCAGTGCAGTGCCAGGGTGCGCGGAGGATCTAGCGGACGGGAGAGAGCCCGACTGAAGGGAATCGAGAACAGGGGCTGCTGGGTTTAGTCTGCCAGAACTCCGAAGGAATGGTGAAGAGCCTGAGGAGGTGAGGCCCGTGACAGAAAGCATAGATCCTAACAGAGTGGAGCTCCTTGCAGGTGATGGCAAGCCCAGGATCGTGCTTTCAATCACAGGGAGCTTGAACAAGGAGCCCGACCAGGACAACCCAAATGCTGGCAGCGTGAGCCCAAGGCATGCATACTGCTGCAACATCAGCAAGGAGCCTGAATGC